GGCTTGATGCAGTTATTGAAAGCAAAGGATTTGCAACTAAATATTAAGTCTCATTCACTTTAATCTATTTTAAGTTTATATGTTCCAATACTTTTGCTCACCTAAAAATTTTGTGTTCCATTACAAATAATGCTATCTTCTAAGTTGTGTATCAGATCCAGATGTAAATACCTGGAAATAAAAGCTGAAATGTTGATCTCTTGTCTCATATTCATCTTTTGATGTCAAACCCAAATGTTTTCAGTCTACAACAAAAGTAAACGAATTGGACTCACTGTTCCAATACTTTTGGAGGGCACTGTATATGTATATATGTGTGTGTATACATATGTGTATGTACATATACACACAAACACACACACACACACACACATACATATATGTATATATATATATATATATGTACAGTTTATACTCTAATGGATTAATTGACTAATCGTTTCATCAACTATCCCATCCTCATTAAAAAACCCTGCTCCTGCCAAATGCACATACACAGGAACATGTACTCTAGGTTCACAGTCAGATAGAGACTTACAGATGCAGATCATTATCTGCTTTGACAGACTAACAGCGTAATTGTCTGTTTGTGTGTTGTGGCAGGGTGACAAGGTGAATTATGAGCGCTTCAGGAACTGGCTCTTACAGAACAAGGAAGCCTTCACTTTATCCAGATGGCTTCTGTCTGGAGGAGTGTGTGTCACACTCACAGATGACAGCGACACACCCACCTTCTACCAGACCCTGGCTGGTGTCACACACTGTGAGTTCCCAAAACACTCTGAATTATTGTGTTTGCATATATTTCATGTCCACTTAGGCAAGTCTGTTTTCATGTAGATGTTCATACTCATGTTAATAATCTGTCCAGAGAAATATTATTTACTAGCCATTTAGTGTCTTTTCTAAGTTGATACACTATACCATACACTGAAAAAAGCCAGTCTTCTGATAATGGGAAGTCACTAATGAATGCTTGGTGTACCTGTACTATGATATTAAAAATAAAAAATTGTGAGCCTATCCTTTAAAGTACAGTAGGTAATTTTCATGATAGTAACTTTTGTCATATTTGTTGAAACTGTATCCACACAGTTTTACATGAGACCCGTTTAAAATGCAAGGAGTAAAAAAAATATGTTACAGTGTTTAAGATATGTAGCATTTTTTTGTTATTTTGAAGCAACCCCAACAACAGTTGAGATGGAAATAATTTTATTAGGAGTGATTTTCAAACCCCAAATATTAGGCATGAAACTGTTCACTGAATTCAAGGTTTGGTTTCATTATGGTACAGTGGTGTCATAGTTCAGTATTTTTTTTATACAGCAGAAAAAATTAGAAATGTCAGAGAAATTTCCTTAATTTTTAAATGTTTTAATTATTTTTTTAACATAATAAAATACAATCTTTCTTGACTTTGAATAATGATGGAGCTATATCTAAGTGATCTATCCTCTGGGGTGTCTTTCTAGCAGCGTGGAAAACAAAAACAGCTTCTTATAAAATATTAAATTTAGTATTGTAATCATGAAGAAATACAAACAAAAGAAACAATTCATTTTTTCTTTAATTCTTTAAATGTTTGAAAATTTGTTTTTGTGTGTGATTTCTGTTTGAACGCTTTATACATGAGAGAAAATACTTGTTGAAAACATGTGAAAAGACTGCGAACTGTGTAGTACTGTATTGTTCGAGTTAAACCTTTAAATAGTTTTCATCATGTCTCTGTCCAGGATTTTTTGGGTGGGCCTAAAAGCCTGCTCAAGGATGCGCTGGAGCCATACTTCCTTTCTTTCACCCACTGTTTGTTGCAGTGAGTTAGCTACGTCCCACGAGCTCTCTGAGATCTTTCAGTCTAATAAAAACATGAATAAACATCTCTGTTAGATGCCACATTCATATAAACACAAGCTAAACAGCTGTCAGTACTCATCATCAACCATTGTTTATTCAGGGAAAACTGACTGAGCATTAAGCTCTTTTACAGCAATGCCCTGAGTTAACATTCAGTGGGCTAGAAGGATACAAATATATAATTGCAATAAAGTGATAAAAAAAAGTCCATAAAAACAAAATAAGTAGCAGCAATGTCTATCAAGAATTATAAACAGCAATGAAAACAGTAGAAAGATGAAAAAGTTAAATAATTAAGAATGGAGTCTGCCATAAAGGACAGAAACATGACAACAACAACAATAAAAACAGTAACAGGTAGAAAATCATGTCTGTCAATTAACCAAAGCAGCAACACTGTAAAACAACCATATCATCAAGCATATACTTGAAATAATCCACCGATACATACCCGTCCATTTTCAATACCTCTTGCAAATTGATCCATTTATGTGGGGGAAAAAAACTAAAAGCTAATTTACCAAGCTCTGTACTGATCTGAGGGGTTTCAAGGGATAAAAATTCCTGTGATTGTGTGCGATGAGAGATGGATTTGATTTTTAAAAGGGAAGTGAGGTAGACGGGTAGCTTTCCAAGCAATGCCTTATAAACAAAAAGGAGACAATGTTTTTCTCTTCTATTAGTGAGTGAACACCACCCCACATTTTGATACAGCTCACAGTGGTGATTTCTAAAATAATCCCCAGTAATAAAACTGAGAGAACTGTGGTAGACTATAGTAAGTGATTGTAGTGTGGATTGAGCTTCATGGATATACAAAATATCACCATAATCTAAGACTGACATGATAGTTGATTGAATAATTGTCCTTCTATTCTCTAAAGAGAAACATGACCTCAATCTGTACAATGCACCAATTTAATTCTCACTTTCTTTGTGAGCTCAACCACGTGTTTTAAATGAAAGCTTGTCATATAGCCAGATGCCAAGGTATTTGTAATCTGTAACATGTTCAATGCGGGTGCCATTAAGGGAACAGATGGAAAAGGCGTCAAGATCACACTTCCCTGACATTGGGAACAACATGAATTTAGTTTCGGTTTCATTTCAAATCAGTCTAAGATTTTTTAAGGATTTCTGTACACAGTCAAATGCACACTTAAGGTTTGATACAGCTTCCTTGAGCGATGGTGCACAAGCATAAAGAATTGTGTCATCTGCATAAAAATGTGCTTTACAGTTTTCTACAGAGGCACAGATATCATTTATATACAAAGTGAACAACAATGAACCTAAAATTGACCCTTGTGGCACACCATTTTTTAATTTTAAAAACTCTGAATACATTCCTGCAGCATTTGTACACTGGGTTCTATCAGTGAGGTAATCCTGAAACCATTTAAAGGATGCATCATCAAAACCCAGCGGGGCCAATTGATTCAGAAGCAGTATGTGATCAACAGTGTCAAGAGCCTTTGACAAGTCTATAAATAGGGCCGCACAGTGTCTCCTACAATTTCTAGGGCTGAAATTATATCATTTAGAACCACATTTGCTGCTGTAATGGTGCTATGGCTGGATCTGAACCCAGACTGACTGGGACTTAAAATAGCATTTGCAGACAGAAAAATACAGAACTGTTCATTTACAAAAGATTCCAACACTTTAGCTAGGCATGATAGTTTTGAGATAGGCCTATAGTTATTTAGATCATTAGTGTCTCCTCCCTTATGTAGAGGACTCACTATTGCTGACTTCCAGACTTTTGGAATTGAACCAGAGCTGAGCGCTAAATTAAAAGTGTGCGTCAAAGGCACAGCAATGATGGGGGCAGCAAGCTTTAAGAGATAGGGATCTAACTGGTCTGCGCCCAAGGAGCATTTCATGCACTTTGAATTACACAACGCATGATAGACTTCAGAATGGTTAAGCGGTCTAAATGAGAAAGAAACATTACCTGAAAATAAGACCCCCTCTTTCTCTGGCAAGGTAGAGACATTATCATGAGGCTCTGGTTTGTCATATATGCTACTGAGTTGTTCAAACAGAGAGGGGGGAGGGGGGTGAAGTAATGCCTTTAAGAGATTTAACTACTTTCCAGAATTTTGCTGAGTTGTTACCACCGTCAGACAGATTTTTTTAAATAGTAAGTACATTTGTTCCTAAGATGTCTTAAAGTTTGCCAGTCCACAGCACTACCATTGGATCTAGCCTGTGCCCAAGCTTTATTTCTTTGTGAAATTAACTCAATTAAATCACGATTAAACCAAGGGTTACATCTGTTTTTAATCCTCAGTCTCTTAACTGGTGCGTGTTTATCCACTAAGGAGTTAAAAACAGACAAAAAGCATTGCAATGCCACGTCAGCATCTGGGATGAGACTTGTGAGAGAGAGGTCACTGATATGTAGGTCATGTAAGCAAGCCTGTTCAACAAGGTTTTTAAATGACCTCTTATGGATATAATTCAATTCAGTTTTATTTATAAAGCCCAATATCACAAATCACAATTTGCCTCACAGGGCTTTACAGCATACGACATCCCTCTGTCCTTTGGGCCCTCACAGCGGATAAGGAAAAACTCCCCAAAATAACCCCTTTAACGGGGGGAAAAAACGGTAGAAACATCAGGAAGAGCAACTGAGGAGGGATCCCTCTTCCAGGACGAACAGACGTGCAGTAGATGTCGTACAGAACAGATCAACATAATAAATTAACAGTAATCCGTATGACACAATGAGACAGAGAGAGAGAGAGAAAGAGAGAGAGACAGAGAGAGATGCAGGACAGACGATAATGACAGTAGCTTACAACAACATTAATGAAAGTAATAATATTATAATTAATAATAATATATTAATATCTGATAGTATACATGTGTGACAATAATCATATGTGTATAATAATAGTAGAAGTATGACTAATGATAGCAGCAGCAGGAGGCATCTGGCAGGACCACGGCAGCAGCACAACCACACACGTCACACTATCCAGGCACCGCTACAATTAACCTGAGAGACAGTGGAGCACAAAGGCTCCGGAGAAGAAGCCGCGTTAGTGACATCCAGAATGGCCGAGTTAGCAAGATGCAGTAATAGGACACGAGAGAGAGAGAGAAGGAGAGAAGGTGCCCGGTGTATTATAGGGGGTCCCTTCGGCAGACTAGGCCTAAGTCAGCCTAACTAGGGGCTGGTACAAGGCAAGCCTGAGCCAGCCCTAACTATAAGCTTTATCAAAGAGGAAAGTCTTAAGTCTAGTCTTAAATGTGGAGACGGTGTCTGCTTCCGGACCGCAACAGGAAGATGATTCCACAGGAGAGGAGCCTGATAGCTGAAGGCTCTGGCTCCTGATCTACTTTTGGAGACTTTAGGGACCACGAGTAACCCTGCATTCTCCGAGTGCAGAGTTCTGGTGGGATAATATGGCACTATGAGCTCTCTAAGATATGACGGAGCTTGACCATTTAGAGCTTTATATGTTAAAGGGAAATTTCGGTTTATTTCAACCCGTCTCCTATCGTTCTAAATTTGTTTCAAGTCACTAGTGACATAGAAATAATAGGTAGCATGTTAGCCGTTAGCCTAGATACAGCCGTAGCGTCAGACCTGTTAAAACGTAATTGAACGGGCATCCTTTCAAGTGCAAAGTTAGTCTACTGAACAAGCTTTTTCTCCACAAAGACCGCCTCATATCGTTAGGATAAATGTCAGAGAACAAACAGAAAACGACATGTAAACATGTTGTCTTACCTTACCGGTGTGCTGCCATGTTTGTTGTTTACCATTTAGCTAAGGCTGCAACCGGTCCCATTCCTTGCAACAGAGGCATTCCTCTTCTGTGGGCATTGGGGCACAGCATTCACAGGTAACGTTACACCACCAATCTCCAGAGCTAAAGCCTTCCAGCA